GCTAAAATCAGGAGTCGACTTAGCGGGCTGAAGGATCTGTGGAAGGAATTCCAACAGGGTCATGCAGCTCTGCGAAGCACCGTTCCTCTCACCAGTCAGCAGTCGGTTGAGTACTTTAAAAACAATTTATATGATAGCGCTGAAGACACGTTTCAAACCACTTCAGACTACATGGCTGAGTGTCTAGAGGAGATTGAACCGTATGTCACTCCAAATCAATCAGTCCAACTGGATACGTCAACTCAAAAGACGTCGTCCGCCTTTTCGTTGTCACATTTACCGCCAATAACGTTGCCGCCCTTTGACGGCAAGTATGAAGAGTGGGAAAGCTTCCGCGATCGGTTTACATCGTTAATTATAGACAATTCAGAGCTAACAGACTTCGCGCGGATGCATTTTCTCACCGCTAGTGTAAAGGATCGAGCTCGCGAGTGTATTCAACATCTTTCCGTCACAGCTGACAATTTTACCGTTGCGTGGAATACTTTGAAGGCCCGCTTCGAATGCACACGGCGCCTTCTTAATGTTCATCTCAATACATTGTTGAATTTGCCCGCGATCCATCGTGAGTCGATTCCAGAATTACAAGTGCTTCGCGATAAGACTAACGCCACGGTGGCGGCGCTCAAAAATTTGGATCGCTCCTCGGACCAGTTGTGGGACGATATTCTCGTTTGCCTGATTTCACAAAAATTAGACTCGCAGACGCGCAAAGCGTGGAACCTCAAAAATAACGACGTGAACACGCTCCCATCCTCCAAGGAGCTCTTTGACTTCCTCGATACGAGAATTCGCGCTCTCGAGGAATGGAAGCTGCCGCTCTCCTCATCGGACAGGTCAACCAAGGCGCCTAACACTCAAAAGATCAGCAGCGCGAACGCCACCGCGAAGGCGCAATTAAAATGTTCCTTATGCAAAGCCAATCATTTTCTTAACGCATGTCCGATATTCGCAAAGAAGAGTTCGAGTCAACGTCGCGATTTCGTCAAACAAGACGGTCGCTGTTTTAACTGCCTCAGTAAAGGTCACGCGGTTCAAAAGTGCGCAAGTAAATACACTTGTCGCCAATGTCAAAGCAAGCATCACTCGTTACTGCACGATGATTCGAACTCTTCCTTAAAATCAGATGACCCGAAGTCGTCAAATCCGCCGGCGATTCCCGTTGAGTCGCCTCCCGACGCGGTAAATTCTCTCAATGCGTCGTCTCAGCAGCTTCGCCGTTCTTCTGTTTTATTGGCGACTGCCTGGGTTACGGTTACTGCGCCGTCGGGTCGATCGGTCGAAGTAAGAGCGCTACTTGACCAAGGGTCAGAGATGACGTTTATCAGCGAGCGACTGGCGCAAAGTCTGCGTCTTAAACGAGTTCGCATGCCGACGTCTATCTCTGCCGTCGGGGGTGTCACGGTGGGAACCTGTCGGCACGCCGCTCAAATCACCATATCTCCGCGGAGTGCATCGGCTCCGGGATTCTCGACAACCGCGTTAATCTTAAATTCATTGACGGCATATTCACCGCAGCGAGTCCCAGAAGAGTCCGTGCTCGGACACATGGGTTCGCTTCCATGGGCCGATAGCGACCCCATGAGTGCGGATCCTATCGACCTTCTTATCGGTGCCGATCTCTATAGCGAAATTATTCTGGACGGCATTCGTAAATCGACGGTCGGACGACCGATCGCACAGAATACGGTATTCGGTTGGGTAATTTCAGGGCCGACGTCGCGGTCCGAAATTCTGTCTCACGCATCGTTCATCAAACCAGGTGACGATCGAGCAAGCGCTCAAATCACGTCACTACATTGTTCTACGACCTTGTCCCTCGACAAGGAACTTCGACAATTTTGGGAAACGGAGGAAATCCCTCGTCGAATCATGTTTACTCCAGATGAGGAAGCCTGTGAGCAACATTTCTGCGCTACTCATTCTCGTCGGTCGGATGGACGGTACACCGTCCGTCTTCCGTTCAAAACTAAACCGCCTATCGACATAGGCGACTCCCGGGCGATCGCCGAGAAACGCTTAACAGCGTTAACGCGGCGACTTCAAACCCAACCTGAACACCAAAAAGAGTACTCCGACTTCCTCCAGGAATACCAGAGTCTCGGGTACATGCGGGAAGTGCCTCAATTCTCCGTATCACCCGAACAATGCGTATACATCCCGCACCACCCGGTTATCCGAGACAGCAGTTCGACTACACATTTGCGCGTGGTTTTCGATGCGTCGAGTTTAACTACCAACGGGTCGTCATTAAATAATCACTTATACGCCGGACCGAAATTGCAAACGGAATTACCCGCGGTCATCCTGCAGTGGCGCGCCTTTCCATACGTTTACACTGCAGATATTACAAAAATGTATCGACAAATTCTCGTTGACCCCCGCGATGTCGACTTCCAAAGGATTTTGTGGAAATCGGACGCTTCGGAATCATCCCGAGCTTTCCAACTTCTTACGGTAACGTATGGAACGGCGTGCGCTCCATTCCTCGCGCTCCGTGTAATCAAACAATTAGTCATCGACGAAGGTCGAAATTTTCCGTTGGCTTCAGACGTACTCACCTACCAAATTTATGTCGACGATGTCCTCTTCGGTGACAACAACCCGACCCGGCTCAAGCAAACTCGCGATCAACTTAACGAACTGCTCCGTCGGGGAGGATTCGAATTGCGAAAATGGGCGAGCAATTCAGCTTCACTCTTAGCGGATATCAGCCCGACCAACCACGGTCTCGCGTGCAAAAAACCATTTCAGAGCGACGAAAATCTGAAGATACTCGGGATCAGTTGGAGCCCCGCGTCGGATGTTTTTTCGTTTCGCGTGCAAACCATCGGCGAATGCCCGCGGTCAAAGCGACTGATTCTTTCGACTATAGCAAAATTATTCGACCCGCTCGGCTGGGTAACTCCTGTAACGATAAAGGCAAAGATTTTCTTACAATTATTGTGGCGTCTTAAAGCCGATTGGGACGACGAAATTCCGGAAGAGCACTTCGATAAATGGCGCACCATTTACCATCACCTGACCGAATTAAATAATCTCGAGCTTCCTCGCTGGATAGGAACCGACGCGACCGCGACGCTCTCGGAGATTCACGGATTCGCCGATGCATCGTCAGTCGCCTACGCCGCCGTAGTCTACCTTAAAACTGTCTCGAAATCCGGTAAGATCACGATCTCTCTCTTAACAGCGAAATCTAAAGTCGCACCCGTAAAACCTCTGAGCATACCCCGACTCGAGCTGTCAGCCGCGGTCCTTCTGTCCAGATTGATCTGTTTTGTGCAATGCTCGCTTCGAGTTGAGATTTCGCGCTGTGTCTGTTGGACCGACTCGACCATTGTACTTGCGTGGCTCAAGCAGCATCCATCCCAGTGGAAAACATTTGTCGCAAATAGAGTCAGCGAAGTTCAGACTAACGTGCCGGCCGCATCTTGGCGCCATGTGCCAACGCAGGATAATCCTGCCGACTGCGCATCGCGTGGATTGCTCGGCAGGGACTTAAAAGGGTTCAAATTATGGTGGCAAGGTCCGAACTGGTTACGGTGTTCGCCGGACAAGTGGCCGACTAACGTCGCCACCGCTCATTCCGATGTAGAAATGGAGCACAAAAGAGTTGTGCATTCCGCGATCCCGCTCCCGGAATGGGATCTCATAGATAAATTTTCGTCTTGGCTAAAGCTGATTCGCGTTACCGCGTATATTCAAAAGTTCATTAGTCGCTGTCGGGGAGTCGGAACAGAGAGCTCAGCTTTGACCTCTCACGAAATTCAACGCGCCAAAGTATTTTGGCTTCAACGCGTTCAAAACACGTTGTTCTCCCAAGAACTTAACACTCTAAAAAATCAAGGTCAAATCTCGAAGAAAAGCGCCCTTCTCTCACTTCATCCGTTCCTCGATGAGGACGGGCTTCTGCGAGTCGGTGGGCGATTAAAAAACGCCCCGATTCCATTCGCCACTCGACATCCGATCGTGCTCGCCGCGCATCCGCTCGTGAGTCTTCTCATCCAACATATTCATATCCGGTCGCTCCATGCCGGATTGCAACTAACTCTAGCGACGTTGAGACGAGAATATTGGGTCGTGCGCGCTCGCACGGTTGTTAAGGCAATCCTTTTCAAATGTGTAACGTGCACCCGCGAAAAGGCGAGTTCTCCGTCCCAGCTTATGGGAGATCTTCCAGTGTCGCGCGTTACTCCACCCGCACGCAGCTTTCAGCACTGCGGCATCGATTACGCCGGTCCTGTGGTGGTTCGCGCTTCTGGGGGCCGCGGCGCGAAATCAAAAAAGGCCTATATCGCCTTATTCGTTTGTCTCGCGAGTCGAGCCATTCACTTGGAGCTGGTCGGCGATTATACGACCTCGGCGTTTTTAGATGCATTCTCGCGGTTCTGCGCTCGTCGAGGATTGCCGGAGTCGATGCATTCTGATAACGGTACTACGTTCGTCGGCGCTGATCGAGAGCTGCAACGGGCGTATCAGGCTGCGCTTCGCGATCCCGACTTTCAGAACACTACCGCTTCCGATCGTATTACATGGCACTTTCTGCCTCCCTCCGCACCGCACTTCGGCGGTGCGGGAGGCAGGGGTGAAGAGCGTAAAATATCACCTCCGACGAGTTTTAAAGAGTGATACGCTCACGTTCGAAGAGTTCTCCACTCTGTTATGCAGGATTGAGGCGTGTCTTAACTCACGGCCCCTCGCACCGATCAGGGATACTCCGGACGATTGCGACACATTAACTCCCGGACATTTCTTGATCGGCTCCGCGGTTAATGTCAGTCCCGAGCCATCCGTGTTAGACGTAAATGAAAATCGGTTGTCCCGTTGGCAACGAGTTCGGCAATTGACGGAGGGATTTTGGCGCCGATGGCAGGACGACTATATCAATACTTTACAGCAACGCAGTAAATGGAGAACGTTGCAATCTCCAGTGAAAGTCGGGCAGCTCGTGTTGTTAAAAAATTCCACGCTTCCACCCTGCAAGTGGGAGCTCGGGCGAATCACTCAATGCCATACCGGAGCCGACGGACTTGTCCGCGTAGTTACCGTTAAGACCGCCGGCTCTGAGTTTAAGCGACCCATCGTTAAAATCTGCTGTCTTCCCGTCGACATCGAAAAACAGTAAGATCCCCGAGCCGATTTAAGTATAAGGTCTTTTCAAAAATTTCTTTGGTTTTCGTCGCGCAATATGTCCGTGCCCGCAAATTGAGGTGAAAACTGTATATTATTCGTCCTAGACATTAATTAATGTGCATGTCGTTTTTTTTTTTGTCTTTGTTTCAGAGGGCACGGCGGGCGGATCTTGCCGTACCGCTTAAATTGAAACTGACGTTTCAAGACGGGCGGTA